CGACACAAAACCTCATAGTAAGAGAATAGAGCTTCTGAGAGAGGAGAGTGAAAGTGAAAGTGTAAAAAATGAGAAGGTAACTTCACCTAATATATTGATCCCAACCTTGTGCAAGGCCCATAAAATAGCCCAAGTTCATATCATTTTGGCACATAGTGGGAAGTTGAAGAGATAGTGGGGTGTCTTTTCGATCAAAAATTGTCTCAAATCCCTCACAGAACGATGCACGTCTCAGTAATGCGACATTTTAGGTAACTTCTAGGTGTAGGCTACATTAAATGTGCCGACTTTGGGTGACGTGCCCGACATGTAGTAGGTAAGTGGCAGAGACACCATAAAATTGGCAGAAAATTCAAAAAAAGAAAATTCTCCAACCAATATCAAAATAAAAATATTAAAATCTCAATCTGAGAAATTAATATTTTGGGGGACATCTATTTAGGGTAAGAAAAATTTTCTAGATTATAAAATCATATTGGAAAAAACTACATTTCGACGAGGTTTATAAGGTCGAAAAAGGAGCCCATTCTTTAGTAAAAAGTAGGCCTGAATCCAAGAAGTGTTAAAAGATTTTTTAGAACCTCAATTTCTGTCGAAAAGGTCACATTTCGAGTTATTTTAGAGGTTTTTTGTCACATTCCTGATTTCCTTCAAAACTGCTTAAAAGGCAGGAGAACAACAGAAAATTATTCTACGTCCACAAGACTGAAAGCTGTTTTGAGGAGTTTCTAAACCTTTTTTAGTCATTGGATTGAGAATAGCTAAAACTAATTGAAATGTAACTTCTTCCAATATGATTTTATAACTTAGAAATTTTTTTTACCCCAAACAACTACGTAATAGCATGTAATGTTTAAGTTCAAGCTCAAATCAGAAGTAGTTGTTGGCATGAAAAATGAGTCACATAACTCAGGTGTAACATCCTGTACTTTGATTTAAATAAAATGAGGTTTGTTAAAGTATAATTGGAATAGATTTGGATAGAATTTATATTTAAAAAAAAAAAGTGAAACAGTAAAATCGCTTATGTACAGTGACCGATGACGTCATCAATGACATCAGCATGACGTCATGGCTGACGTCACATTGGCGTACAGTCCGTGTACAGTACGTGTGAACAGTGGCTGCAAACAGTGTTTCCAGCGTGAACAGTAAGGCGGTGAACAGTGTTTCCGACGATGAACAGTAAATTTTAAAAATTTTCTACAAAAAGGGGGTTTCACACGAAATTTTCATTTCTTCACTCCTATCCAAGGTTCTCAAAGGTTTTAAGGCTATATCTCACAATTTTCTCCCATACTAAACCTCCTAAACTTAGATTTTTCTTTAGATCTGTGATTCTACGTCCGTTCTAAAGGATTTCAAGTAAGTTTTTCTAAGTTTGAAGTTAAATTTATCGTTCATTTCTCTTCTTCTTCTTTTTCTTATAAATTTTCATGATGTTCTTAGGAAAACTTTGTTCTAGAGTTAAAATCTTCAGTTAAATCTTTGTAAAAGCTCTGTTTTGAGGTGAGGGGGCTCTACTTTATCATTTTGTTATGTTTATTACTTGTATTCTCATAGATCTTGTCATGTATGTGATTATATGTGAAATAATCCTTATTTTATGAGAAATAATCGGTGAAAAGTGAGAATAATTGACTGTTTATGTGATTTTATGATGAATACATGGTGAAAATGTGATATTATGTTCAAATAGGGTATGATAAGGTATATTGAGAATGGTTGATATAATTTTATGATTTTGTGATACGAAATATACAAAGAGATGGATGTTTCATGTTTGAATATATTGTGTTTCATGTAAAAATGATGTGTATTGTGAATATGCCATGGTTTGATGTATATGATGAAAAGTATGTGGAAATATGATGAAAAATATGTGTGAACATGAGAAATAGCATATGTGAACATATGAATATACTTGAAAGAGTATGAGACAGAAAAAGGATTCGATGTAAATAGTTACAGAGATACACTAGAAGAGTGGAAGATGGAGACGATATGAGATATCTTGGAGAAATGTAGGGTGGTGAGTGACATTCGGGATTGTGCACAAAATATTGTGTTCGAATGCACCACATGGCCGTATACTCGTTTTCCGACTTGACTCCTGACCATTACCTTTGCTAAGGGGCTGTCTATTGCATGCGTTGTATTCGTATTGCATTGGGTCATCCGGCGACTATTTACATGGATGTGTAAGACCTCGAGATAGAGGCTTCGAATAACTGTGGCCACAGGACGCGGTAAGTACGGATAAAAGTAAAAGAAATTGTGAATCTGTGGAATATAATATGTGTTGAGATGAGAATATGCTTTATATGACACTGTGATATGTAATGCCATGATATTTTCTTTAATCGTGATAAGATGTGTTTTGTGATGAATAGTTGTTATGTATGAGTGGTACGGTAGAGACTCACCCTTACACAACATTTTTTAGGAAACCAGGACGAATAGTATCAGGCTCACAGTGCATGGATGGATGAGAACTGCTATAGGACTTAGTTATTTTGAGTTATGTAATGGATAATTTCAGTTCTATAGCATTCTTTTGAAACAGTTTTAAAACTACTATTTATCTTTGTTGCTGATGAAAACTTTAAAATCTTTATTTTTCTAAAGTACTTATGAATTAATGAAATTTTACTCAATTAAACTTATATCATTTCATTGTTTCTTTCTCATTAGAGTTTTTGAAAGAAAAAAATATATTTTACCATTTAAATATTTATAAAAATTTATCATATATTAAAGAAAGAAATATAAGGTGTTACATCAGGTATGGAACGTAGGTCATTATTGTCTATTGGTGTCAAATAAAAGGGAGAAAGTGAAAAGAATAATAAATAAAAAAATAAATATCAGCGATAAAAAGTTAAGCAAATAATGTATAAAAAAAAGAAAAGAAATACACAAATTAAAATCTCTTGAGAATTGGCAAAGCGATATGGTATTCTTTTGTCTGGTAAAAGACATATATATAATAAGAAGTGATATATAATATTGTTGGGTGATCAAGTCCACCACGTTGAAGCACGTTGTGGGGTCATTGCATAATGGAATACTTAAATTCAATAGTACAAACTAAGAAACATAAAAGCCAACTTTATCACTTTCTCCTCATTCACACAAATTTCAAAAAACATTTAATATTTACATTAAGAAATAAAATGAAAAAATTGAGGCAATAAATCAATGTAAGTATTATTATTATTATTATTATTATTATTATTATTATTATTATTATTATTATTATTATTATTATTATTATTATTCATTGGCAAGTCACCTCTACCTCGAATGGTCCCTCATAAAAATTCAAATAATTCGTGAATCAGCAAAGTTAGAAGGTTGTTAGCCATCAAAATATTCATTCTATTTATTATGTTAGGTCCAAGCTAACTGAATTTGCCACCGGTTACTTCCATTTCATAAATGGACTCTTTCTTTGCCAAACTCACCTTTATCTAACCAAATTATCATCAATTCATCATTATCAACTAATTAGCTTTATATTATTTTTTTTCTTAAAACTAAACTTTGTCAAACCAATGTCATCTGCACCTGCCCGCGTGGTCGCATGATCACCTATATTTTCTACAATTTATTGGGAAAATTATGAGATCCTTCTCAGTTTATAAAGGAATATTCAATTATTGCTATGAATTACAGTATTCAACTACCCAAAAGAAAAATGAATTACAATATATTCTTTTTACTATTAAAAAGTTATTTTACTCATCCCAGTATCAGCTTTAGCTTTTAAAAAAATTTTACACATTAAATTAGTCATTCTAACTTCAAATTAACATAAAAGTGTCTAATTAAGTTTTAGTTATGTAAAATTTGAAAAGAAAAAAGTATTTTAAAATTTTAAAGAATTAATTAAATGCCACGAATGTTTAAAAGACAAAAGTAATGCCGATTTATTTTAGGTAATACAATAAAAATTAAAATTTTATTTTAACTATACAATATATTACATTAACAAATAAATTTATTAATATAAAATATTAATATATATTATAAATACGAAAACTTTAGGACGATACTACTTTATCTGTTATCATAAACTTTCAAAATCTTTATAAATAATTTGATTTTTGTCAAACAAAGATTATATTAATGAAAGTTATATTAACAATTTATATATTTTTTAAAATGGCAACTTTTTTTTCCTAGCCTTATGTGAATAAGTGTGCTAAAGATACTAATTGAGGAATTGATAAATTAATAATTATTAAAAATTGAGGCCTAAGAAATATATATATATATATATACACTGATAAATATTAATAACATTTTTAAATTATTTTTATTTTTAATTCTTTAATTTTTTGTTTTAAAAATACTTATTGATATCATTTTACGTTGAAAGGTTAGACTTTTCTTTCATTCATTTTGGGGGCTAATATATATGGGAAGAACAATTAATATTTGAGAGGTTCTCTTGACTGATTGAGTTTCACGAGTTATTAGAGGCCCACCTCTTCCTGACCCATCTCAATCTCATCGTATTAATCTATTTCAAGTTTCAAGTTATGTTTGAGTCGAATTCATATTCAGATAATTGACTATATTATTATTATTATTTTGTGTCAAATTAAAAATTCCTTGTAAAATGAACATGCTTAATCTAAGGGTCAAAATTGTACTTTCAGAGCAGCGGCATATGCCAAAACAGCCACCGAAATCCAAAACCCTCCCAAAATGCAATGCTGACCTATAAAAATGGGCCACAACTTATTATCTCCATCGTCGCATCTGCGGTCTGTACCCACTACAACTGTTAAATTCTTCTACAATATATATATATATATATATATATATATATATATATATATATATATATATATATATATATATTGCATAAATAAAACAAATTTAACAAAATATCTCTTTTGCATTTCTATTATTTTCACACATTATTATTATTTTCCTTAACGGGTTATATTATGATTTTTATATTATTGCTTCCTTTTTCTTTTCCCGGCACTTACGTATGACACACAGATAAGCGAACGGAAACTACTCTTCCTTGTCTTTCCTTTTCAATCCAACTAAAAAAACACTCAAGATTCCTTACCCTAATAATGAAATAGAAAAAAAAATCAACAACAATAATTTACAACACGCGGAATGAAAGTTGCTTCAGCATAATTAAAGCCGATAATTATTTTTTTCTCACTCTATATCTGTCTAAGATAAAAGAGACAGAGAAATTCCACCCAAAAAATAAACAAATATATTAACCTCAAGCACCCTATAGGTGCATAAAAACCCATATACTAGTATAGTATTCACCTTGATTTCTTGTTATTCAATTTTTTTTTTCTCTAGCTGTAATTGCATAGAGACATCCATCTCTATAGCTACATGCAGCTAGGAGAGCCAAGTGTGCCGGAGATCTCCTCCCCTAACACGGCGGTGACGGCGGAACCGCCGGAGGAAACGGCACATGAAGGTGTCAACGGTGGTGAGATGGTTGGGATTGACGTTGATGCAAATTCTAGTGAAGATAAGGGAATAGAAGGAGGAGGAGATGAAAGTAACAAGATCAACTTTGGAGGAAACCGGTGGCCCCGCCAAGAAACTTTGGCTCTCTTGAAGATAAGGTTAGATATGGATGCAGTGTTTCGGGATTCAAGTCTTAAAGCTCCACTTTGGGAAGAAGTTTCAAGGTATATATACATAAATATATAACTTAAATTCAACAAATCCCTATTCATCTTTTTTCATTCTTTGTATTTTGGTATGAGTTCATTTACTTCATCCTTTGATGTTTTTCTTCTTCTTTTTAGTTTGAAGAAACTGAAAACTTTTAGCCCCCTTAAGATCATGCATGGAGATCTATGAATTGATTTTCCATTTTTAGTACTTCAACCGATTAAAACTCATTTTCCCTCATTCTTTGTACGATTTGAACCGTTACCAGGCTATTTTTTTTTTTTAAATTATATGCACCATCGACTTTTGAAATCACTACAAATCTTATTCTAGTTTGAGATAATAGTTCAAATTTGTCTAAGTGCCAATCCTTTAAAGATAAGGCATATATAAAATGGACCCATGTTTGAAAAGAATCATTTTATGCGAGTTTTCTATTGATTTGCTCTTTTTTTTTTTTTTTGGGACTCTCTTCTTTCTTGGATTTTTCATCGTTTCTTTTAATTAGCTTTTGTCTTTTGTTACACTCTTTTAGGTATGAACCACCTCTTATGCTCCTAATTTAGTAAATCGAGACAAGTACATTTCTTTGTCTGAGATTTTATCCTTGCCAGCAGTGTATGTGAAAGCATCAGCTCATTTTTATTTGTAGTTTTTTCACAATCTTTTTTCTCATGGATGACGTTAAATTTTGATCTTTCTCTCACTTTCTATATCTCTTATTTTATAAATAAATCTACGTAGGAAACTAGCAGAACTTGGATATCACCGAAGTGCAAAGAAGTGCAAGGAAAAATTTGAGAACGTGTACAAGTACAACAAGAGAACCAAAGAGAACAAAAGTGGCAAATCACATGGAAAAACCTATAAGTTTTTTGATCAATTACAAGCCCTTGAGAACCAATTCACAGTCTCATACACTCCAAAATCACAAGCTATTTTGACAACAACTCTCTCTAATGTCACCACTACTTTTCCTTTCACAAACCCTACACTCATTTCTCCTTCACCACCGACCAACGCTACCACCACCACCACCACATCCATGACCAACCCTCCAAACCCATCACCACCACAAAACCACAGCAACCACAATGTTCCACATTCTTTTCCCAACATGAACAACCTTTTCTCAACCACCACCTCCACGTCTTCCTCCACAGCATCTGATGAAGACTTGGAAGAGAGGTATAAGAGAAAGAGAAAGTGGAAGGACTACTTCAAGAGGCTCACGAGGAAGGTCCTGCTCAAGCAAGAGGAAATGCAAAATAAGTTCTTGGAAGCCATGGACAAAAGGGAGAGAGATCGGTTGGCACAACAAGACAATTGGAGAATGCAAGAAATAGCAAGAATCAATAGGGATCATGAGATTCTTATTCAAGAAAGATCAACAGCTGCAGCCAAAGATGCTGCAGTGATCGCATTGTTGCAAAATTTGTCTGGCCAGCAAAATCCCATGCAACTATTACCACCATCATTCGCACTGCCATCAGTATCACAAATAGAGCCATCACAACAGAAGGAAATAATTCCACAAACACAATCACCGATATTAACGCCAAACAACAATTTTGAAATCAAGGGAGCGAATAATGGTCACAGTACTACTAGTACTATTACTACTGCTTCTCTAGTAAGCTCTTCTTCTTCTAGGTGGCCAAAAGCTGAAGTTCATGCTCTGATAAGGTTAAGGACAACTCTTGAAATCAAGTATCAAGAAAATGGACCGAAAGCTCCGTTGTGGGAAGATATATCAATCGGAATGCAAAGGCTTGGGTACAACCGGAGTGCAAAGAGATGCAAAGAGAAGTGGGAAAACATTAACAAGTACTTCAAGAAAGTGAAGGAGAGTAACAAAGAAAGGCCTGAAGATAGTAAAACGTGTCCTTATTTTCATGAGCTTGATGCTTTATACAAAGAAAAGAGCAAATCCCAGAACCCCTTTGGCATTTCATTCCAGAATGTGATACCCAATGAGATGATGATGATGGAGCCGTTGATGGTGCAACCGGAGCAGCAATGGAGGCCTCCACCTGAGTCGTTGGAAGAGGGTATAGGGAAGGAGAATGCAAATGAGTGTCAAGAAAAAGAAGAAGAAGATGGTGATGATGATGCTGAAGAATATGGAGATAGTGTGGAAGATGAAGGTGCAAGCCTTTCTGAGATTGCAACAAATAATTAAACATGCTTCAGTGGACAACGTTGAACGACAAAAGATAAGGAATTTTCAGAGGGGAGAAAGATCAAAACGTGTTTTGCTTATTTTAAAGTAGTTGTTTTTTTTTTTTTTTTTTAATTTAAATTATTATTTAGTTCTTCAGATAACATAAGTGAATTGGGTACAGTCTTTCAATTTTAATTTTCTTATGGGATTATAATATGTTGCTGAAACAAATTGTGAAAGCAGATTGTTGTTATTAAAGTCATTGCAGAAACATCTGCACCAGAAAATTCAATTCTTCAATCATGATTCATGACTTGTCTAAAAGCACGGGCATTTATATTTCTGTGGCTTCACATAACATACCCTATCTGAGAGACCTTTTCTGAGCAATGGGTATCATAAAAGTTGATGATTGGGGTAGTGGGTCAGATTTCGGCCGCCATGGACTGGATTCGGAGATGTAACTCAAAAAATAGCCACATGGGCCAGCAAAGCAGCTATAGTGGGAAGTGTACAATAATGTTTCAGTTTGATAAATAAATTATTTGTAAAATGTAAAGGATAAAGATTATTGTACAATTTAATTTTTCGAATAGGAAGCGAAAAGAAGATAGAAATCGAAAGAAAAAGAATAAGGAAGAAAAATAGAATAAGTAATATTAAATATGACGAGAGAAAGAAGAGAAAAAAATAATAAATTAATATAGAGAGATAGAAAAACTTTGAAGAATTGCGATGACGAAGATGATAAAGAGAGAGAAAGAGGCTCCATAGTAGATAAAATAATAGTCACATGCATTGAAGCTAGCCTTGTAATTTTCCTAGTTTCATTAGGGAGTGTGCTGGCAAATGAGCTCTCATATAACCACTTTGTTGTACTTTCAATTTTCCCGTGATTTTGGAAGTTTTAGTTGTGTGTAAGATTGTTAAATGAGTAGAAAGACTTGGCTAATTTTTCTAACATTGACTTCACAAGCCACGAGATTCGCGAAAACTAGTTTTTTGTTTTTAAGTCGAAGACTAGTTCATCATTTAAACATTAAATATTTATTTATTTTTTATCTTCTTAATATATACATATATTATATTTAAAAAATTGAAAGAATTGATAAAATTATTTCACTTTAGTTGTGCAAATGGTTTCTACTTATGTGCTGTCACCTGGACAGGCGCGCAATGGTTGGAACTTGACACACGGAACGATTCCCTTTGCTAGAGAGAGAAAAATAATTATATTTTATAACTAATTTATATAACTTTTTTATATAACAAAAAGAGAAATAAAAAAGAGAAAAATGTGAGTTAAAATGATTGTTGTGTTGGAATAATATTTAAAACAGGTGCTGCTTTTTAAAAATTACTCAAAATAATATGATTTTCAATAAAATTTCTATGGTTGAAATCAATTAAGGCATGAATCACGAGGTATGTCCTTACGGTGAGTGAAAGCTTTTTTTTTTTTTTTAAGTAAACTCTATTCACAATAAATACACACAAAGTCAAAATAATGTGGTATTTAAACGTGTAGAATGAATAATATATTTACTTTTTTTTTATTATTATTATTAAACAAAATTTTAACAAAAAATAAAAAATAGAGGTTTATTCGAGTGAGTGAGAGTTTTCAGCCATTTTATTTTAAATATAAATTTTAAAATAAAAATATGTTTGATTAAAATAAAAGAAGTACTAGAAACGCATTTTTAATACATTTTTATTTATTAAACAAAATTTATTAAAAATTACAAAAAAAGAGAGAATAATTAAATTAGAAATGAGAAAGAGTATAATTACATTACTTTTGTAATTTTTGATAAATTTTAATTATTAACTAAAAATTTGTTAAAAAAACTGTATTAAAGAATGTAATACTTTTGTAATCTTTGATAAATTTTAATTATTAACTAAAAATGTGTTAAAAAAAACTGTATTAAAGAATGTATATTACAAGTATTTCTTTCAAAATAAGACTGTAAATGCATTTTTGCAATATGGTTAGTTAATTGCATGCTTTCTCAAGAAAATTTTTATGACAAAAGAAAGTTATAAATTTTCCTATAATAGAGTAAACTATGCTATTCAAGTAGTCTATTAACTCAATTTCAAAAACAATATTTTTAATTTTTAATTTTCAAAATAAGTTATTTAACACTCTTATTTTTTTAAAAAAGATATAAAACAACTATCATCGTATTACCACCGCGTAACTATATTATTATAGTTATTACTGTTATTATCATCCTTCGTTGTCTCTTCTATGTCATTATTACTATCATTTTCTAGCAATTATAATTATTGATACAATACTATTATTGCTGATCTCAAGTATTGTGTTGTAATAAATAATAATAATAATAATAATAATAATAATTAATAAATAATAATAATAATAATAATAATAATTTTATTATGTCAATTATTATTATTATCGTCATCACAATATTTATCGGTAATATTATCACTATAACCGTTGTAATGTTTGACAATTGTATTTGCAATTACTCCATATTTATTATTACTAGTACTGCAACAGTTAGTTATCACTTTTTTCTATTCCTCACTTAACTAAAATATTACCTCCTCATCAAACGAGCTTCAATTAAGAAAAAAAAAATCAATGGTCTAAATTTAAGGTGTTGTATTAAAAATAAAAAGCTATAAAAGTTGAAACTAAAAAAATAAAAAATAATTTTAGCAATAACGATGATGACGTGTGAAACTTAAAATCCGTGCGACTCCAATTATAGGTAAATATAAATATTAGAACTACCGTCTATTGGGTCCACCGTTAGGAATCGTGTATGTTCAAAAATTATGCCATTTTATCACAATATTCCATATGCTCATCTGTGTTGACTTTGTACACTTTAATTATGTGTGTATTGGGGTTCTCCAGATCAACTTCATTATTCATCACGTAGCAGAGGTTGAAAACTTTCATTTATTATTCTTTTTTCACAACCAATAATGACTAGAGACTAAGTAAATAATATTCAAAATTTATACTCTTTTCATGAATAAAGAAAAATTATTTTTTTATAATATTTGTAAATTTGAGAGCGTATTATATAGTTTTTAAAATTAATAATTTTTTTTAATGTTTTAAAATTAAAAAATATTTATATATTTTTAAATAAATCACTAATTTACTATTTATTAATATAAAATTAATCGCAATAATTATTTTACATATGAGAAAATATAGAATATTTTTTTAATTTATAAGATACGATAAATGTTATCTAAAAAAATTGATGCTGATAAATTTTCACTTTTCTCTCTCTGTCAATGTCTCTCTCAGTGTATTTATATAGATAAACAAAAAGATAGATAGATAAATATAAAATATATAATTATTTTTTTATAAAATAATTTTATTTGAATAAAAAATATTTATAATATGATATAATTATTTCTTAATTTGATTTTTTTAAAACAAAAAATTTGAACTTAAAATTTTACTTAAAATAAATTAAGCATATAGTATATAAATAAATCACCCACTACTACAATTTTAAGATTTTTTTGTAAAATTTTCTGCAAAAATCTATATAAAATTTGCAGAAAAATATATTTCATACCAATTTTGCTGCAAATTTATTGTCACAGAAAAAGCTTTCATGGATAATTATTCCTGCAAAAACTAAAATCTGTAGGTAATTTTTTACAAATTTTAGTAGGAATAAATTTGCAGATCCTGTTCTGCAAAAATAATTTGTAATAGAATCTCTTAAAAAATATACAAATAAATTTGCAGATAACTTCAAAAAAAAATTACAGAAAAATCAGCATGTAAACTTTTTCCTAAAAAATTGAAAAAAAAATATTCAAGAAATTTTGCAAGTAAATTTGTAAGTATTTTTATTTTTTAAAAAAATTTGCAAGAAAATCCGTGAATAAATTTATTGCAAATTTATCAACGAAATTATTTTTTAAGAAAATAAGAAAAATTTATAGAAAAATTTGCAGAAAAAATTTAGATTGGGATCCTCTGGAACTACAGAGAACCTCGATCGCGTACCTTTGTATGATGTTTTCTTCTTTCTTATTTATGGAATATTTTTCATATATACTTCATCTCAGGTGGAATGGCATAGGTTGCCATGCTCATAATTTTACTAAATTTAAAACTTTAATAACCCATGTTGAAGAAATTCTGGACTTCAAAATCAAAATCTCAACATCATGATCTCTCACAAGTCACAGCTAGATTCTATAACAAAAAGGTTCACGGTGAACTGATTGCCTCAAAAGTAGGCAAGCTTATATTTATCAAGACACCTTCTTGATTACATCAGCTATCTTCTCTCTTTTTCCATTTTTTTTATGCAATAGTGGTAATAAGATTTGAACCTGTAAACTTATACAAACTGCTTAAGGCCCTTACCACAATTACAACAACTAGCTTGATATTATAAATGAATGCTACAATTAAATCCCACATTTCTAGCAGATCAACAACGTACAATAATGTTATCTATAAATTTTTTTTATCTTTGACGCATTACATCTGTAGATCCTTCTTTGTAAATTAGAACAAATATGAATGAGACCCTTTAATCATTGATTTTTTTTTTTCTGTATTTGTAACAGGAGCAAAATTACCAACATAAAAGAGAAATACCTAAATTTTATTCTATTAATCAATTTCATAAATGATAATTGACATCCATCCATACTTTCATATTATGAATCATATGTTACTACACCATCATTCCACAATTGTTGCAACTCATTAATCAATGGCTGTAAATATACATCAATTTTTTTTTGGACTTGAAATGATCAAGGTAAGAAACATATAAAGGGTCATCATACAAAGTTCAGGAGGAAGATTGTATGGCGTGACAATTATTGAACAACAAAAATGTGGTATTGCTGATTGGGTAAAAGGAGTGAAGCCATCTGCACATAAACTAAGTCTAACATTTCGGGATTCTGAAGCAAATTGAGAAAATACTCGGTCAAAGTGTTTCCGAGCTTCTCCATCTAAAGGATGACACAACACACCTTCTTTACGATTTTCATAGTAACACCTCATATGTTTTGCAGTTTTTTCAAAAGCATATAATCTTTGCAAGATAAGAGGCAAGTAATACAATCACTTACAAGGAACATCTTTAGAGTTTTGCTTGCACACACTGCATGCTTTATATCTGGGCTCATGACAAAATTTATACTATATCAAATTAATATCGTCTTTATAATATAACGTACACCCTTTAACACAGCAATCAATTTTTTTCTTACTTAGATAAACCAAGACCTTCTACAAGTTTCTTTGCTTTCCTAAAATTAGGAGGAATTACATTCTCAGGATAGCTTAACTCTTTCATAAACTTCATCACATCATTAAAACAAGCTTGTGGCATATTATGTTTAGAATTTAAACTCAACATTGTAATGGTTGCAGACAATTCTGACATATTCTTACATCCTGGCCACAATGGTTGTTGAACTAAATTCAACATGTTGTAAAATTTGATAGCATCCATATTTGGAGGTCCTTCTTCATTTTGTTCAAAATGTTAAGTATAATTAAGACCAGCAGCATCAAAAAACATGTCTTGATATCTACTAACATGTTCAAAATGTACTTGCTGACTACTACAAGCCATTGGATGATCAACATCAGCAGCAATATAAGGGACTTCCTCTCCA